GGCGCTAAGGCTTCTTAGTGCCGCTAAGCAAGGTTAGCTGCTTGTGTCTGTCCCCGTTAAACTTCAAAGCGGCGCTAACAGCTATGGCCTTAGCGGCGCTAAGGCCCGGAAGATCAACATTGCTGCTTTTTCTTTGGTTCGTGCGCTCGTCTATGTCGCTCGGGTACTGCCCGAGCTGGGTACTCAACTTTTGCATGCCCGATGCTCGAACAACACACTTCCCTACTTGCCAGAGTGCTCGTCATCCAATCATCCTAAAACTTGGAACCAACACCACGGGAAAGAAAAACACGAAAAACGAAGATAATAGGAAAGAAAACAAAGAAAACACTAAACACACCGAAATAAAGATGAAAGCATAAGAAATGACAAAGAGGACCGAAAATGCCTAAGAAAAGACCCAAAACGGGGGAAACGACACACAGAATAACAACGAAAATAGCAACAAAAACGGGACAAACAGGTGTCAATGGGTCTATAAGAGAAAAAGAGGTTTAGATAGAAGGGTTTAAACCTTGAAGGCTAAGCTTGTTGTGAAAGGGTATACTCAGAAAGAGGGAATCGATTATGAGAAAACATTTTCTCTAGTAGCGATGCTTAATTTCATCAAGATTCTCTCAGATGTAGCTTATGGATTATGAGTTTTGGCAGATGATATCAGGACAAGTTTTCTTAATGGGAATTTGGATGAGGGCATCTATATGCATCAACCAGAGGGTTTCGTCGCAAAGGGCCAAGAGAATCTGGCATGTAAGCTTAATCAATCCATTGGCGGACTGAAACATGCTTTGCAGCCTTGGGACACCCGCTTTGATGAGGTTGTCTAATCGTTTGGATTTATACAATGTCTAGATGAGCAATGCGTGTACAATAAAAGTGACAGAAACATGGTAGTGTTCTTGTGCTATATGTAGACGACATACTTCTCATTAGAAACAATATAAAGGTGTTGTCAGACGTGAAAGTATGGTTGTCCAAGAAGTTTGATATGAAGGATCTGGGAGAGGAAGAACACATTCCCGCGATCAAGGTCATTCGGGATCGCAATAAAAGAATGTTGTGCCTATCCCAGTTGTCGTACATAAATACTTTTTTTGGCCCAGATTAACATGCAGGATTCCAATAAAGGGCATTTTCATTTTCGGCATGGAACCTCTATGTCCGAAATAATGTCTTAAGAGATATAGAACATGAAGGCAATTCTTTATTCACCAACATTAGGAAGTCTTACGTATGTGATGTTGTGCACAAGGTCGGATATCTGTTATACTGTGGGCATGGTGGCCAGATATCAAAGTAATCCAGGACCCGGGAATCAAATGCAACGAAGCATATACCAAGTATTTGAGAAAGACTAAGGAGTATATATTAGTTTACTATACAAACGAGTTGCTCCCGTTAGGTTACACTGATTCTGATTTCCAGTCAGACCATGATGAAAGTAAATCCACCTCGGGATTTGTGTTTACTCTTGGAGGAGGAGACATAGTTTGGCAGAATGTCAAGAAAAAATGCGTGATAGACTTCACCATGTAAGTTGAGTACGTTGTGGACAGAAATGAAGCGGTTTGGCTTAGGAACTTCTGGTTAGACCTTAACGAAATGCCGAGTTTGCCCATTGTGATCACGGTTTTTTTATAAGAGAAGACCAGTAGCGTACTCGAATAGCACGAACTCATATAACGAGTAAGCACATAGAGCACAAGTATTACCTGATACGAGAGATCGTTGGACGAGGTGAGGTCGGTGTTTCCAAGACTGCACCAGCGGACATGGTAGATCCTTTTTACGAAGAGCCTTTCGAAAAAAGTCTTCAAAATACATGTTGAAAGGATAAGAGTTAAGCGCATGGCGACTAATTAGACCGTTATTTGAGAACTGAATTTAAAAGTTTATGCTCAGTGTATCCCAGAGATTTATAGAATATAAATGAGATATTGTTGGGGTATACTATAAAGGTTTAACTATAAGTTTCTGACAATACCAACTTTAGATATGATTCATGTTTTAGTCAAGTGTGTGTTTGCAGTTTATTTATTTACGCGAACATAGTTTCTTTATTTTATAGGTAATATAGTTCGATGTGTCGAACAGAAATATCATATTATCAGTTCCTTGTAAAATATAAATACTCGTTCACAATCCCAACATAATTGAAGTAACTGTTATGAAAGTTTATAATGTGATTTTTGAGTTAGTTGATCTTTAAATAACAAATTACACTAATAAATCTCATATGCATTGAATGGATCTACATGAGGATAAGATTATTTAATACTGACCAAGTAAATAATCTAGACCATAGTAATTGTCGCGTTCTCTTAACGGGCATATGTATTCGACAATTATTTATTTGATTTGCGAGACTTCTTATACTAGGTTGATAGACAGGGGCGGAGCCACCCTAAGGCTAGGGTGGGCTCCAGCCCCATGTAATATTTTGTTACCCTTATTTTTGTTAATCTTATTTTCTAAAAAAAATTATACATAGATCCATTAGCCCCATGTAATTTTTTATATAGCCCCATTTAATTTTTGGGCTGAATGACTCAAGATTATCTTCATGTTAAAATTTGTTATCTGACAACAATGGTGGAAAAATGATGATTATAGTGAGGAAAAAAAGATAATCCTTTATTGTCAAATGACAATTGTGACCTTATTAGATTTTTATCAATTGAGTTTATAATGTGACCCAACACACTCTTATCTTTAAATTTTTAATAGATTGACTTGACAAATATCAAATGAGCTGGATAATTAAGTTTGACACAGACTTTTCCAGCAGGCTATTTAATTCGATTCGTCTCACTCCACAGTCCGTTATCCATTTTCATTTATTTTTTTTCTTTCGCCTCCAATAATTAATTCGACATCATTTCCTAGACAAAGAGAAAACTCGTACAGAGTTGATTGCAAACATGTTCGACTTTATTTGTTTGATCGACAAGTTCAATTAGCTATTTGAGTTTGGTTTGTTTAAATATATAAGCTATTCGAGATTGAGTTTTTTCAATTCAAACCGACATATGTTAGCAGATAATTAGTTTATAATCATAACTAAAACCAGTTACAGGCCGAACTGTCGATACCAGGCTAAGAGTTGGAGGAGCATGAACCGACGCAAACATATGTACGGGTCGGTTAATTGAATTGTCGATTACTGGTCGTCCGGTTAATTAAAAAATACAAAATAATTAGAATAATATTTAAAAAACATGAACCTCGGGTTCCGGTTCCAGTTCGGAACCAAAACTGCATGTTCAAAATGTATAAACTATAAAGTATTGTACATGAACCGAACTGGTCAAAACCACGGGTTTGTTCAAGACCATGGTCAACGGGTCTGCTTGTGTCGGTTTGGGCCGAACCGACATGCTGGGTCGGCCCATGACCATGTCTACAAGGTTCCAATAATAGCTAGCAGCCCCAGGTTAAAAAAAATCCTGGCTACGCCCCTGTTGATAGACTTGGTAATTTGGTAAATAATTCGACTACATGATGTTCCGTTGGAATTGTTTATGGTCACTGTGTCTCGGTCTCTCGGGTCTAAGACATCGCTCGACTACATTATTTATTTGATTTACCAAGAACGATAATTTTTTTTTATTAAAAAAAAGGGGTGATTAGCCGGATGATGGAGAGAAAAGCTAGATGCCCTTTCATAAAACATCATGACTACAAGAATTCATGCTCGAAAATATTTCGATCTCATTTCAAGGCTCATTGATCTTTGGTTTGAAAAAAAAAATGGGGTAATTAAGAATCTTCAAAACAATGATACTTATGGAGACTTTAGAAAGAAATCAAAGTGTATGTGAAAATATGCCACCATTGGCCAATCAATGGCTAAAGAGGTGGCAATGTCCAAGTACAGTCACAAAGATTTCCAATCAAGAAAAAAGTTATTTGAGATATTACACACACCACAATAATGATACTTAGGTGGATCTTTCTTTTAAGTTTTGATTTTTAAAGCACAAGCTGTCTCAGTGTGGTGGATTCACTATCAGACTTAGACTAAAAATGTGATGTGAATGTGATCATTGGATCCGGAAATCGGAAGGTCCCTGTACCAAAAAAAAAAAAAAAAGCTTTTAATTCCATTAAATTAGAGCATAATGATAATACCACAACATGTAAGTAAGGTTGACCGCTAATAATAATAGTAAGGGAGATGTTACAGTCTCGTTACGGAATCATTCCATTGGGGTTTGTAACTGTTAGATCAACTATCTTTACGGTTACATGATGATGTAACGGTCACAAACTCAAACGATTGTTTCGTAATGCGACCGTAGTATTTCCCTAATAGTAATAATAATATATTTGCAAGAAGGAAAATCATAGAAGTATATATAACTATATAACTATCATTTCTTTTATTTCTTAATTTTAATTAAATCCTAGAAATGTTACACTACTGAATATCATGATCAATTTTACAGACTTAAATTGCTAAGAATAATATATAATAAATCAAACCATATAGAGCCAAATTCATAATATTATATTGTTTTGTATTATTATTATATTAGGGTAGCCGCCTTTCAAATTTGGACTATGCCCATCACACGGTGGAAAAAGCATCATGCAGAACCCCCTTTACAGTATAGACAAACACTTGCAAATGTATTTTAATTTAGCAAAAGCAACCAAAAACCAAAAAGAGAGAGAGAGAGAGAGAGAGAGAGAGAGAGAGAGAGAGAGAGAGAGAGAGAGAGAGAGAGAGAGAGAGATTGCATCTAAAACAAGTGGCTCATAGAGAACATAATTACTTCAAGTGAACAAACTTGATGAAACAAATTAAAAGAGAGAAAATCACAATAAACCCATAATAATCCTTCTAACAACAAACTAGTTTGAGATAACTCCACACAAGAAAACAACACACAAGTCACCATATGTGTGTTATTAATGAGTTCAACCATGGAAGCACATTCAAAGACACACACATAGCAACTATTTTCCCACAAACACCATTTTTTTTTTTAACTCCCTTAGAAGCCAATTCTTGGAGCACAAGCGCCGATATTCATCACGTAACGGCCCGCGCCATTGTGATTCCAGTCGAACATCGTCTTCGGGTCAATGATATTCGGCCGCGCGCAAGATACACCGTTGATTTCGTTCGATTTCTCGTTGTTTCGAAAATTGGTCATCTGGGTCGTGTCGGGTTTGAGATCGACAGTCGTGATGTCGTGGATGCTCGGCCGCCTCTTGTCCTTCCCTCCCGACACCTGTCTCAGGTAGTACTTCTGCGCGTGGCTCGCCACTTGGGTCGGTGTTTTCGTGATCACGAAATTCCTCGAGATGTTCCTCCAATCCCCTTTCCCGTGCTTCTTGAGTCCCAATAGAAAACGCCTAAAACATATAAAAACATACATGTGTGTGTATTTGTACCTTTTGTCCCATCATAATCATATTCAAAAATTATTTCGAAACTATTAGACTGCGTGTACAGACAGTCATACTTTTTCAACATAAATTGAAGTACGACATTCAGATCACATATATATATATATAGGACTAATTTGAATTTGATATAGGAGAAAAAACTTAGCTAAGTTTAGATAACGGCTACCTGTGTTCGTCCTCGGTCCAAGGGACGCCCTTTTTCCGTTCGTGATCGGGAGCCCGGGCCCTTTTCCGATACGTGTCTATGAAGAAACTCCGGTCGTCTTCTTCGCCAGAGTCGAGCGTGAAAGAGGAGACCAAGTAACCGGGCACCGGAACCAAACCGGCCTCGATATCGCTGACATCAGACTCCAGCTCCCGGTACTGATTCATGACATCATAAACCGACTTCCCGGGGATCATGGCCGCCACGTGGAACCACCGGTTCGGTGTATTCTCGTCGAAAATCGCTAAGGCGCTCTCGAATTTCTTGTTCTCTTCCTTAGTCCACATGGCGGCGCCGTAGCCGCGACGCGTCAGCCAGCCGGAGCTCGAGACGAGCGAATTCGGACAAAGGGTCTCCATTGAAGTAACTTTATAACTTTTGAGTTCCTAAAGGTGTGAGTGAGGAGAACTTAGAGCTGGAAAAATGCTCTGTTTCTTGAAAAAAAAATAATGAGAATAAGTTATGGGGAACAAATATGTGGAATTGAAGAAAGTTCAATGAATCAAGAAATGAGAAAAATGTTTATATTTTTTCTGTTGATACAGTTAAGAATAGTGGTGGCTGTGGATGAATCCAAAAGAGTTTAGGATTAGAAAGAGAAAAGGAGACATGAAAGCATATGTGTGTGTGTGTGTGTGTGTGTGTGTGTGTGTGCAAAAGTTATTGAGTTGAGAAGTGTATTGTGAATTTGCAGCCCATTTAGTAACCAAAAAAAAAAAAAAAATGGTTGGTAATTGGTATCCCCTGTTGATAGTGTGGGCTTTTTGATTGATGTTTGGTAAGGGTGATAACAATTTTTTTATTTTTTTTTTTCGGATTAGCTATCACTGTCACTTTCTTTATTTTTCTTGCTTTTTGTTTTGAGAGTCAGCAAAATATCAGAGAGAACAGTGTTTTAAAGATTTTGCACAATTGTCAAGCTGCTTTTGGCCTATTTTAAGTATTGATGCTTTGGCCTTACTTATTATATTATTATTAATGATATTATAGTATAGTATAGGATTTTCTTAAACAAATGGCCACCTCGAAGAGGGTGCTATTTGTAGAAATTATCCTACTTTATTTATGATACAGCACTGCAAAGTTAGTGGTTATTAGGACTTAGGAGCCCCTAAAATTGCTGAAGACTTACTTTCATTTTTTTTTTTTAATTTGGATATTTATCATATTGGCACAATAATTAAATGCTTTTTTCGATGTGTTTGAGATATTGATCCACCAAGATTTTCGATGGAATTGCCTCATTCTGTCTCGAACATGATCGATCATTAAAACAGTGTCAGTGAACTTACATGGGTCAAGGAACTGTTGAATTCATCAGGCAGAAGTTGGAATGCTGCCTTGATTGTTTGGGACACTGGAAAAAATGGTATGTTCTCAGTCGCAAATGTCTGTGATTACCAAGCTGAGGAAAAATAGAGAAAGTTTGATTTCCCCTGATAGTAGCAAGCTGAAGCTGGATGTGATCAAAGCTAGAAACAAAAGTTGGACCCTTCAAATAACATTCAAGGTGAAACATTTTATTTGGAAGAGTTTCTCTAATATCTGCATGTGAACCTTAATCACATCAAGAAGAAGATGGACTTAGATCCCTTCTACAAATCTTGTGGTGAAGACTTAGAATCCATGGAGCACATCTTCTTCCACTGTAGTAAGGCTAGGATGGTGTGGAAGCTCTCTCCTATTTCCTGGGATGGGCTCAGTCAGATACAAACCGCTTTAGGCACTGGTGGACCAAAGTTTGCAGCATTGGCACCTCTCCTTCTTCTCTGAGCAGAATCAAATTGGCTACTTACTTGCTCTGGAGGCTTTGGAAAGCCAGGGACCTACGAGTCTTCCAAATATTTTGGCTTTCTGAATACTATATTGTGCAATCAACCTCCCCAGTTTGGGAGGAGCAATCCAAATGCTCATTTACCCTCCATATGTGATTCTTGGCAGTTGTTGGTAATTTGTTAGGTTCTTTGGCTTAGCTTCTTTATCTTGTTCTTATTCTTGTTAGTTGTTTTTCTTTGGTTGTTGTTTCTATTCTATTAGTGGTAAACCCACTAGGGGCGGTGGCTCAGTTGATAGTGTGGGCCTATCCTTCAATTTGTGCTAGTTTTTCTTGCTCTGATGAAGTCGAGTTATATGACAAGTACCAGGCTCATTTAGACGTGGCCACGACCACCCGACCCGGTCAAACCCGTGGACCACAGGTCCAAGCCCAGCTCGGATTTCAATCGGGCTGGTCCAGGGCCTTGTTTTTGTTGACCCTGACCCATCGGGGACTCGGCCCGGAAAAAACACATTGGTTTTGAATTTTTTTATTCGAGCGGGCCCAGACCCAAGCCGAACCCGGCATGGACCTAGGTCGTGCCGGTTCATGGTCCATGAGACCCAACCCGTCTGCCCGTTGGGCCGGGCCAGACCCAGGTTTTGGCCATGTCTAGGCTTATTAGCTTAGTCTTTGTCGGTTTCTTAGTCATCTAACTTGGTTAAGATTTTTGGTATTTTCTCGTTCGCTTGATTGCGCTGCACATATTCTATTGTCTAGTAGTAAATGTGTCCACGGGCCACCCGGCACGGTCTGGGCCCAGCTTGGATTTCAACCGAGCCAGTCCCAGGCCGTAATGTGTAGAGTTCTATTTTTATTCATTTTATTTTGTTTTAAGGGTTCAGTTGGTTGTAAACTGCCGAGCCGAGCTCAAGCTTAAGTAAACAAGCCAAAAATAGAGCTCGGCTCGTTTGCTTATATTAACAAGTCAAATTATAGAAATTATATAATAAATCTCTTTTCGAACTTTAAAGAATCTTAACTATCCAAACTGAACCGAGCTGGCGCCGAGTCGAGGTCTCGAAGAGCTCGTTTCATTTAAAAAGTCTGAGCGAGTTCGGACACATTTTACATTGACTTTGTGAGAAATTTTCAAGCGAGTAATATGCCCCGTAAGATGGCCTTGAAATTGAGTGCGTTAAATAATTAAGAAATGCGTTTTGGTTGGATGTTATACACTAAAATATATATAATATATTTGTAGTTTAAGTTAGTCATGTATTTTATAACTTTTAGATGTTAATAAGCATGGATAGAAGTCCAGATATATTATTACTACTCCAAACCAAACACAAAATTACAAAACACCAATTCGAAAAATAATTACGAAACACCAATTCAACAAATAGAGTTACGAAACACCAAAAATCAACGCCCTAAAGCGTCTGATCTAATCTGCATTTTCAAAAGCAAGCAGAGGATCTCTTACGAAGATAGCAGTAGCAGACAAGTTTGGATCATCCTTATACTTTAACCAAGCTGCATCCAACTGTTGACCTTTTGACCTATAAAATACAGTAAAAAAAGCAATTTCGTTGCTTTGAATAAGAATCAGATCTCCAGATACAACTTTGTTGAACTGAAGGGTCTTGGTAAGAGAAGTAGTACTCACACGCGAATCAAGTTTAGCATTTGAAGAATAAGTGACCTAATATCTTCACGAGCAACTTTTAGAGCAGCATCCTTATATAAAGTGACGAGCTCATCCACCAACCTGGGAGCCCGGTAACAAACATTATTGTTATCCATTACACAGCAAAACAAGATACGAACATGAAAAGACCTATGATATGGAAGGTTCCTCGCACAAGATCCCACCCAAGAGCTGTCAAGTATTCATTAAGCTAGACTAGTAATATTCATGGATGAATGATAGATACAGCATCTCTATAAATCACATCATCTACCATCTACTCTCCTTTTGCATTCTCTCTCTATCTATAGTTAGGAATAATAACGAATAATAATAATAATAATAATAATAATAATAATAATAATAATAATAATAATAATAATAATAATAATAATCTTTCTGTTGCATGAGCATGCTCATTTGTGCATCGCAAGCCATCAACTGCCTCTTACATAGTTGTTCCTTTTCCAGATAGTTATTCGACTGCCAATGCTATTTTAAAGGCATTTTCATGTCCCTATCCACATCAGATGTGTGTTCATGCCCAATCTTTAATTTAAGTGTTCATATGCCATTCAAGAAACGATCCTAATTTAGAACTATAATACCTTTCACAGCACGTTGCGGAAGTTATATGACTACAAGAGTTGGTCAAAGAAATCATAATCTATGTATATAGGCAGGATCCAACATAGCTTTCTCCCTAAATAATCCTGATGATGCAGTGTTATTCATACGATGATCAAAGAACAGGGTACTAGTTACCTCTCCATGAACTGAGAGTTCCTTATCCATGTAAGTCTCACAACTGGTATCATTCGTTCCAAAACCTGAAGCATCATCAAAGAACCAGCCATATATTTACAATAATGCAATGAAAAAAAAACCTAATTCAGAGAGGGGGGAAAAGAATGATGAATTAAACTAATCATATCAGCTAAAAGTTCAATGATGTTAAGAAATTGGCAGATTAATCATAAAGCTAATTGAACTAAGAGTTTGAGGTTGCCAACATGTTTAGCCCCTCTTTGTCTGATGTCTTGCTTTTCTTCTTCCAATATTACTCTTGTCCTAGTTAGACCTAAATAGATTACTAGCCCCTAGATACACCTAACTCGGTTCATCTTGCTTATGCAACTCATAATCAAATATCATATTTGAAAACAAGCACTGATGGTGGAACTAATAATGCCCATGAAAATGTTAACTTAGCTAGTCATGCATAAATATCACATTCTTACCTGTTTCACTAATCAGATTCATTCATGTAGAGAGAGAAAGACAGAGAGAGAGAACCCACCCACAACACACGTTTAACACAGATAAATACTCAAAATATTATATAAAATCTTGCATTCACATGGGAACAATAGATGCCACAGACACACTTAAATCGTCATTCTTAAAGAACAAATATCTTACCAGTAAAACTGTCTCATCATTGTCAGCATGCATCCATTTAAAGAAAAGAGGGAAAAGACGCCTGAAATGGGCAAGAAGTAAGAGACCAAGACAATTGAACAGTGGCTCACAGTAAGTCAGCCATGCAATGCGCCTCTTCTTGTTTCTCGGTTGCCTTTCCAAATGATTTAACATTTCATTGAGCAACTTCTCATACCTATATATATAAATACCAATGTCTCAGAGAGTAAAGTTAATGAGACAGAGAAGGAAAAGATTTTAAGCAGACAACGAGAGTTTCTGAAAATTTATTTTCGCGGAATCCATTGCGATAAAGCATATTAATTTATAACCACATTTTACTAAAACCAAGACGTTTCCGAATAATTAAAATAATATCATTTTCAGAAATTAACAGTGATTGCAAAATTTTATCTTCAGAATGTGTAGAACTCCACACATCAATTCATGCTGTTCTCCTGATTCAAGCATCAGAGCAAACAAGAAAACTGTTCCCCATTCTCAGTGTTCTTGTTCCAAATGAAAACAATTGACTAGCCTTCGGGGGAACAAACTGTGAAAAATTTAATCCTTCAGATTGATACAGTTGAGGGCATAAACGCTGTACAAAAACAATACCATGAACTACGAGGATTAGTTTGTTGAGTTAATGTGACAAGAAGCACTGACATCTCTACCACATAGTGCCATATCTCATCATCACTAGCAATATTTTGGCAGCAAGCATCAAGAATAGCATCTGCATACCCTCCAATATCTGTAGCATCTACATGTTTTGCAAGATATATGAAGCTTAACATGCCCTGACCCTAAAAAGAGAAACTGGAAAGTTTCAGTCACAAAGTAGTAATTATTCGCACTAGCAATCAAAATCTTGATTGAAGTCTGTGGTGAATCTTGTGTAATTTGTAGATAATATGCTTAATATTTGAATCTAAAATCCGCCAGATGTGCAAGCATAACTGATCTACCTCGAGTTGAAGCAGATGAGTGTAGTTAAAATGTATAAAAGATGAAAATACTGACAACCCTTTATCGTTCGGTTGAATCACAGTAAACTCAGAAAATTACCACTAGTTTTATAAATTAGAGAATGCATCTGTATAGAGTGTACAAGGACGCCATTAGTAAATTCAAATTTATCAGCAAAGCATAACACAAAAACCAGAAGCAGTCAATTACTTACATCTAAACATACAGCTATCAATGTATTATATGATCGTACGAAAAACTATGGAAATCAATCGACGTGCATTTGCGAAGTGAGTACATGAAAATCTGGTTGAATTCGGGGAAATGAATATAAACACCATTTTCCCATTCATATTTTGTCAAAGCAACAAATGATAAAAGCAAATTATAAATGAAAAGTTTATACCAAGCTCACAACATACTTTAACTTCCGGAGACCAGTGATCAAGAGCTGTCAGAGCACATGGAATCACCAAAGGACAAATCTTCCCCATAAAAGAAACATCCACCTACAATGAACACAACACAAGGTTATAACCAAAACACAAATCATTTCTCAAGTTTGTTTCACACGCAAACCGCGCAAGAATGAGCAACCTGAACAACAAACCATCTGAGCTGATAGGCGGACAAAATAGCCCAAGCTACCGGGGCCCGAGCACTTGCAGCCGAAACCCCATCGTCCTCGTCACTTGCATCAATCGCGCTCTCTTTGATTTTATCCTTCAGCAAAGGCAACGCCTCCGGCAGCAACTCCATCACCAGCTTCTTGTTACTCTCAACCACACTACACAAGTCCAAATCCAGCTCGCCAACTTTCATCGAACACTTGAACTGCATATCCGCACAATAAGCTTCAGCAAACATCTTGAGAGCAGAAAGTGCAGAAGCCGAGAGCGAGTGGGGAACCCACGAGAGATGTTGGCTGCTGGAGTCCGAAGCGGAGGCTAAGGTGGCGCAGCACAAAACGAAGTCTTTGATTTCGGTTCTGCAATCGGCCCCGGAGATGGCGGGGCCCGGGAGGAGGGACTGAAGGTGGGATTTGATGGAGACATTGGCGTGGGCTTCCGGCGGCGTGTATGGCGTATCCAAAAGTGCTTTATGTAAGGGTTCCGATAATCTGCAAAATTGAAGAAAGGTTAAACAAAGGTAACGCCCTAAGGACCTCGGCGGTCGCGCGCGCCCACAGAGAGAGAGAGAGAGAGAGAGAGAGAGAGAGAGAGAGAGAGAGAGAGAGAGAGAGAGAGATTACTGAAGGAGGACTTGCAGAATGGAAGAAGATGAATTTGACATTGTTTGACTATGGAAACACGATTCTAATGGGTGGTTTCAAAAATGTTATGCATTGTTGTAGATTAAATTTAGGTGGAATTGGAATTAATTTTCTAATCAATATTATTTAAATTTATTCATTTCACTTATATCTATTTTCCCAATTATTTTCCTTTTGACTTTGCACATCCCAACATTATTTCATTATTTATTATGTCACATAACATTTAATTATTAAAATAAAAAAAAAATACAAAAGCTGATATAGAACAGTTGTATCTTACAGGTAACAAATGTCATTCTACTAAAAAAATACTAATATATTATTTTAGCAAAATATTTTAAAAAACTTAAATAAAATTTTTATTTTTTTCGTTATTTGAACATAATTTTTTTTAATTAACAATAGTCTAATTATCTTTATTCAAACAAATTTATATTTAGAGTTTTTTAATTAATTTTTAATCCAAAAAACTATTTCATAATAGAGTTTATAAATGATCAAGCATACTGTTTACTTCAAACTTTTAATTTAGCCCCAAAGATTTTCAAACAATTGCGAATATTGATTTGGAATTTTGAGTAACATTTAAAACTTTTTTTTAGAATTTTCAAAACCTTTTTATTTAAAAGTTACAAGTTAAACTAGAATTTCTAAAATTTAAATTAGTATTTAGAAATTCAAACCTAATTCATCCACACATAATAATAATAATAATAATAATAATAATAATAATAATAATAATAATAATAATAATAATAATAATAATTTATAATATTCCTAGCGTAACATGTCCAAGGTAAATTGCAACAAAAATATAAATTACGAATAACATACAACTGTAAAAATCTATGTGTCCGTATTCATTGAGAAATGTGTTATGGTTTTGTTACGAAACCATTTCGTCAGACTTTTTAACCATTAGATCATCGAAAATAATTGATCTAATCGTTACAAATCTCTAGAGATGTTAAATGGTCCTTGGCCCGACGGGCCGGCCCGTTTAGCCCAGAAAAAAACAGGGTTAGGTCCTTTTATTAGTAGCCCGTTTAAATCAGGGCTTTTTAGGCCCGAACCGTTTAGCCCGAAGCCCGCTAGGGCTAGCCCGAAACCCGTCAGGGCTGGCCCGTTTAACTAGGGTTGGACGGTGTAAATGTTTGCATCAAGTAAGTAATATGCTCTTAAATTACTTGTATATTACTATTTTGATATTCCACTTCACATATGTAAGTATGAGTTGTAATGAATTATTATGATTTTGAAAGATAATTATTAACAATATTGTTATACTTCACACCAAAATATTTAAGTCAGTCAGAACGACTAATAAAAAACACATGAAACATAGTGATAAACGGTAAATACTAAATAGCTGTTGAAAATAATTTTTAACAATCGTTGTTATTTTTTTAATAAATTTTTTACTATTTTATTTTTGATTTTTTCTATATATTATTATTAGTATTATTATTATTATTAACAGAGTAAAATGCATTTTTCGTCCTGTATGTTTACCCCTCCAAACATTTTAGTCCTCTTCGAATTGCGTTTTTGATTTTCGTCCCGTATGTTTGAAAAAAGGTTACAAAAATGTCATTTTCATACATAAAGGATGAAATTTGAACACCTTTTTGCAAAACATAAAGGACCTTTTTGTTGCGAAAAGGACCTTTCTGTAACTTTTTTTCAAACATACGGGACGAAAATCAAAAACACAATTCGAAGAGGACCAAAATGTTTGGAGGGGTAAACATACAGGACCAAAAATGCACTTTACTCTTATTAATATTATAACCCGCATAGCCCGTTTAGCCCGAAGCCCGCTAGGGTTAGGGTTAGGTCCTTTTTTTGGTAGCTCGTTTAAATTCGGGCCTTTTTTACCCAGACCGTTTAACCCGAAGCCCGCTAGGGCTAGCCCGAAACAGCTAGGGCTAGCTCGTTTAACATCTCTACAAATCTCGACAACAAAATCATACCATTTCCCATTCATTTAAATACACTCTCCTCTTCCGCTTTTAACAGGGGGAAAAAAATTAAGAAAAGACAAGCTCGGTTTACTGAAATTCCATCCACAGCAGGAGTCAAAATAGAATTCATGCGCTTCCAGCGATGATATTACCTAATACTAGTAGTAAATTACTAATAAATATCCATAATCCATCGTCAACATTATTCTTCATCATCGCATTTTGCTACATTATCCACGCGTATAAATATCTATGCACAAAGTGGGGTGCCTTAATCCACCATATTATCTATACACATCTCTCTTTTGGGCTTTTTTTTTTTCATCTGGGACCAGACATTGATCGAGCACCTTAACCACCAATCGCTATCGATTTACAAGGTATGCACTGCTTGACCAAATGGGTTTAATTTTTTCACTACAAGACTCCATTTTTATATCTGAAACTTTGCTCAAAGTTGATAGATAGAGGCGAGTGTATTTGGGAAGATCAGATCTGCTGGTTATTGTTCTGTCTTGAAAAGGGATACAAAGCAAAATGTCTTTTATTGGGACACAACAGAAATGCAAGGCCTGCGAGAAAACCGTGTATCCGGTTGAGCTGTTGTCTGCTGATGGTGTTAGCTATCATAAGTCTTGCTTCAAATGTTCCCATTGCAAAGGGACCCTCAAGGTTCCAACCAGTTGTCTCTAACTGATTATCGACTTTACTTAAGTAAAAGTTTATCTTGATTGCTAGCTTTTATATGGGCTTGGGGTGTGTGCTCTGGGTTTTATAGTTCCTGCACCAAGATCTTATCTTTTAGCACCTGCAACACTTGTCCACGGTTTAAGCTTCTTAGTGATGTCTCGTGATTTTATATCTATGAGTGATAAATGTGGCTAGTGTATTTAAAATGATATGTTTCAAATTTTACTCATGTCATCGGACGTGTTTAGATGTAATCTAGTTAATACCTAAAGTTATATCAACAACTGGAATTGTCTTCATGTTTATGCTTGGTGTTATGTGTTCTGATGGGGAGCTTGATTCTCTGCACGGTTTGTCTTGCCGGCTTGCTAACTGGATGGGATATATGTCCTGATTTCGGTGATGGTTTAATATGATTTGAATCTTGATAATGGATAAATCCAATGCCTCATTTTTCTGCGTTTAAGAATGGATGTATGCATCTGTTGACAGACTTGATTTCTTAGTGTTTGATTATTGCGCATAATTGAGTTTCTTTTCAATGGATGGTTCTTTCTGAAAAGTTTTTACTTGAATAATGAAATAACTTATAATCGGGTGACAGTTGTGAGATAAGTCTGTTGATTTGTGTATTTATTTTTTATAATAACCATTTTTCTCGATATGTTCAATTTTTATGCTTAAAAATGCTTGTCAACTATAGCGAAAAAGATGACCTTTTTTTCAACTATAGCGAAAAATGCAATGGAGACTGCATGTTGTATGTGCCAAGCAAATCAATAATCATGATCCTTTCTACTGCAGATCTGAACAAGCTGATACGATCACTGTATTATTCATATGTCTTTATATCACTAGCGTTGACTTGGTGTTCGCATTGGTCGTACATATTTTGTTTTGCTCACTGAATCACATATTAACTATATCTTCATCTGTGAATAAATCAAAAACACAAAAATAAAAAATACTAATCAATTACGGGGAGAACACTATATAAATCTTAAGGAAGCAAAAATGAGTGATTAGAAACTATTATCAATTGCTTTCCCATGAAATTGCAAATTGTGGCTTTCTAAAGAAATGATGATGACTATGATCAAAGTTACAATGAGAGAAAAAAAAAAAAAAAAACGTGTCTTTTAATATCAAACAACACTGCTGCAACAGAATCTCAGATTTTTGCATATACTCATTATATTATTAATGCAGATATTTGATGTACCTTTGGTGGTTCTAATCCATGCTTATATTTTGGGCTCCAGCTGAGCAGCTACTCATCAATGGAGGGTGTGCTGTACTGCAAGCCTGACTATGAACAGCTTTTTAAAGAGACCGGCAGTTTCAGCAAGAATTTTCAGTCCCGTATGCCTTATATCCTATAAAAAATGTTTATTTGATTTTGAGATTCTTTTCAAGTTATTTGTTTTAATGGTGTCAATGGGAATTTTCTGCAGCTTCAAAGTCAGCTGAGAAGTCAACTCCAGAGTTTGTAAGTTTCCCACTGTTTCAGTCTTTAGTATGGTCCGTACCATAAGGTGCCCTTCGATTCTCATTGTTCTTTTTTCTGTAAAACTTGCAGACGAGATCACCTAGCAAAGCTGCTAGTATGTTTTCTGGGACTCAAGACAAATGCGCAACCTGTGGGAAAACAGCTTATCCATTGGAGAAGGTACTTTTAAGAAATAAAATCATTTAAAGTGACATATGTGGCTGGTTTCAGTTTTGATGATCCATTCGAAGATCTCAATGACTATTGTCTACCTCTGTAGTCCCATTGAACTTATTCTAATGACCCTGCAGTTTTTTTTTTTTTTTTTTTT